GGGGGGGGGAACATGGGCTAAATACATTTGCAGACCTGTTACTAGCAGTAGGTTTCAGGAGCTTATGTCCTAAAAAACAGCAAAAACACCTAAGAATGTCAAAGGCGGCGGCTCCTGGTTCAAGAGGATTCTGGTTTGCCATTCTGGAACTAGCCCTGGCATTGCCGAGTCAGGTCTCATGCACTGCCACTTACAGTTCGCCCTCTGCCTATTTATTTGCAGGAGAAACGCATTGCTTCACTGGATGCTGCCAACGCACGGTTAATGAGTGCCCTTACTCAGCTGAAAGAGAGGTACAGCATGCAGACACGTAATGGGATCTCCCCCACAAACCCAACTAAATTGCAGATTACAGAGAATGGAGAATTCAGAAACAGCAGTAATTGTTAACCCATGGAGGGCGCTGCCGCAGGAGAGGAGGCCTGGCCAGACAGACCGTGCAGCAGCAGGTGTGAGCCGCGGCTTCAAAGAACGGCTGCTCTCCCTCCCCCCCCCCCCCCCCCCAGAGAAACCAGCTCCTTACTGCGGACGGCGCACTTGACTGAGCCTTTGTGGGAGAGGCTAATGCCAGCACATTGAGGGGACGAAAGACCGAGTGTGAGATGAGTGGCATAAGGAAATACCATATATTTGAGAATCGCTGTCACTGTTGGATTTAAATCAGTGTTTAACGTTTAAACAAAGTAACCTTTTCCTTCCAAACTGCCCAAAGGATATGCCTCAACCCTCCCAGCAAGGAATAATACCCTTGTCATTGCAGTAAGCAAAATAAAGGGAGCTGGGCAGAGCCAGTGGCAGGCAAGGCCCAGTCAGTCTAATTAAAGTGTGTTCAATAGGTAGGTTGGTGGCACTAACAGCTCAGGGTAGAATGAGAAGGTAGTGCTGGGACAGCAGCGCAGCATAGCCCCAGGGGCAGCCGAGTGCCCGCAACACGGCTGTACTAGGGACTGGCAGCTTGACTGACCCTGCCTGTGACGACTCCTGGAGCGCAGCCCTCACTCCTCAAAACAAACCCTGAGCCCAGCAGTCTTGTCTCAGCTGGCTTTCCTAAGGCCTGACATTTACAGGGTGTGACTATCAGCAGGGCATTTACACAGCTCATTAGTGTTTAATTAACAGGGAGTGCAGTCCAGGTGAGCAATCAGGGCTCAAGGTGGTAGCCAAAAGAGGCGCTGCATGGACAGCCATGGTGTCAGGGCATTGGAGAAGGCTACGACTAGTACTGCCAGGGCTCCTCTGGTGGTCACTGGGCAGCCCCGGGGGTGCTGTAATGGGAAAGTGTGAGGAGGGCAGTGGTAAGAGGGGAAGGGAGCTGGCATCTGGCAAGCAGCGTCTCAAGTCTTCTGTTTCTCCTCTCTCACGAATAACGGGGAAAAGGAAGGGGAGTAATTCCAGCACTTTGTGCCCCCATATGTCTAGCTACAGAATGAAGTAACTGTTGCCCGAGCTTGGCTCCTGAGCTGTGAATGAGGCACAGGGGCTGGAGTTTGTGTGCCAGAGGGGGAAATGAAGGGCTATGTGAAATGGCCAGCACCTTGCTTGACAAAGGGTTCGTTATGGGGAGGTAATGCTCTGTGTAGCGTGGTTTTTTTGGTTTTGTTTTTTGTTTTTTTTTAAACTAATTCTGGGGAGAAAAACAGGCAAACAAACAAGAAAAGCCCTGAAGAAGCATGAAGATCGGTAATTGTATTTCTTTTCTTTCACAGTATGCATTAGAAAAAAAAACAGCCCATTTTCTGGAATACTGTCCTCTTTAAATTGGGAATGAGCACTGCATGGAAATTAACCGGCTCGAAGAATGTAAAACTTGGTCGTAAGGGAGTAACCAACAAGAACAGCAGCCACCACCGAAAGCCCCCCTTGTCAGGAAGCACTGTGCAGGCATAAGCCAGGATTAGACTTTCCTAACTGCTGAAACATGCAGATTCAGCACATTCAGACATGTTTGTGCTCAGCAGAAGGGGTCACCTCCTTAACGGGGGATTGTGCCGCTGACCTGCTGCCACGGTGTGTTTGTTGGTTTGTGTTTTTTAAGTTAGTACTTCATGATTCCCAGTCTCAGAGCAGGTCACGCATACCAAGAGCCAGAGAGATTTCTCTGAGATATGGATAACAGTGTACAGTGTACAGGACATGTACCTATTCCTCCCGCTACAGTTTAATATACTGCTGAATGCTTGTCCTAGCTCCTCCTGCCACGTGTAAATGTACAGTCAAAGGGCCTAGGATGTTCACTGAGCTCTGCACAGCTTAGGTGCCATCTCCAAACTCACAGTACCTAGGCTGCCTGAGCAGGATGCTGTTTTCCAGTGAGCGCTGCCTTGCTATGCTGCCCCACAGCCATTAGGCTCATTAACAGCATTCTTCCCACCGATGTTGTTTTAAAAATTAAAGATGCTTTTTTCCAAAAAGCTTTTCTGTTCCCTGGAAACCCTGGGCCGAGTCCGGTGAGGCTGCACCTGCTGCAGCTCCGGTCCTTGGAGGAGCAAACATGTTGCTGTGCACTGAGGTTCCACACCCAGCCATCGCCGGCAGAGCGGCACAGTCACAGAGCAGACCCCAAAAGGAGCGCCTCAGAGGAAAGTAATAACTAAGCATTTATGGCATTACAGTCACCTTTGCATTTTGGAAAACTAGCACAGATGGCTTTGAAGAAGCTCACAAAACTGACAAGGTTACAACTGGAGAAAGACCCAGACAGGTTAGGAGATACCCAGGGTACTGTGAACAGTTTGGTACGTACACTTACATCTGCCATTGTCTCAGAGTCAAATACATTGTAGAACCCTGCAAAAAGACTATTTTAAACTGCCATTGCCCGAGATGTATTTTTAGAGCTGATTGTTTTTAAGTTCTGAAATATTTGTGTTGCAAGAGACGAAAGTTTTCTCAAGAGAAAAATAACAGGGCATTGGGGGGGAGGGGGAGGTGCCCCACCAGGAACATGTTTCCATTCATACACAGAAGTAATTGTGGGATGCAAAGTCAGTGTTCTCCATAAGAGCTGGAAAAAGAAAACACCCTCAAAACAATTGTCCAGTACTGAAGCTAACACAGATTTAATTTTCCCCAAGAAACTTCTGGTCACCCTCAACCTTGCAAAGCGATGAATGCACACTGTTCTGCTGAAATAGCAGGAACACACAAATCCTTGCATGGTGAGTTAGTAAATCTTTAGAAGGTCCAGAGTCAACACCGGCTGGAATTGTTGCTTAGTTCCTAAGCCAGTATGAAAAGAACCGCAAATCAGTGTGAAGTTTCTTTACAGTAGAGGTCTCCCAAACCCATTTTTCCCCTATGATGCCTTCCCTTACAAGCGTCAACCCCTGGACATATTGGGGTTAGGTTCTAAGCCCCAGGCTCAGCTCTGTTACTTCAGTTTATGTTATTTATAAACTGTGTGTGTGTGTGTGCGTGCGTGTGTGTGTGCACGTGCATGCACGTGCGTGAACTTGCAAGCGTGAGTGCGGTGTGGCCAGGATTGTGGCTTCAAGCCCGGTATCTGGCATAGCAATACCAGAGGCAATTCACAGAGGTGCTTGCAGCACCAGAGTAAAGCAACCACTATATGTAATGTTTTGTGATCTGCTCCATTTTCTTTTCACTGCGCTTTTTACAGTAAGAGGCTGTTCTAGTGCAAACCCGTAAAAGTGTAAACAGAACAAAAACACTCAGATTTTTATCTTAATACAAGTCTTAAATTTTTTTTTGGGGGGAGGGGTAAATGTTTTCAGTGTTTACTGTAACGTATCTATCTCACTAACAGCTGTATATAGTAATTTACTTCTGGTGCTGCTTATTTGGTCAGGATTTGGCTGTATCTCACTGCTGTTTTGGAGAGGTGGCCTCAAACTAGTAAATTTGGATCCAGACACAGGTTATGATTTCAGCCCCCTCCCTCTGGTGATCCGAGGGAAGGGGAGGGGAGAGAAGCCAACTGGGATCCAGGTTTGGGGTTGGCCTACCTCAAGGATTCTGTTTTAGAATTTGGGGGGGGGGGGGGTGTTTTTGTTTTTTTTTTTAACTGTAGCAAACACTCCTGAAGATGAGCAAAGTTTTGTGAAAAGGGGGGATAAAGTGGACTGAATAGTATCCCAAGGTCGACTGCAGACAGTCCCTGGCCAAAATGATGAGACTGACAATGGCTTAAGTTCAGTGCCAAAAGGCTGGTGGGACAGAAGTCCTTCCCCATGCCAACTAATTACTACAGTGTACTCACCAGCCTCTTTTGCACCAGTTTAAGGGAAGCCTGCCTCCATCAAAAGAGTCCTGTGCCACTCTGCATTGTCATTTGAGTCTGGTTGGTTCTGTTTTCCAGTTTTGCTCTTTTAAAGCACTGATTGCACTGTGGGAACGCGCTGACTCCTGGGGCCTGGTAGGCAGCCTTGTAGGTCTCCAGCAGTTCCACCAACGTCACTGCCCTTTCAGTAACGCAGCTTTGCCTTGAAAGTGTGAAGCAGAAAATGCAAAGGGAACAACCGTGACACTGTCCTTGGGGTGAACGTGGGGTTTCTTGTGCAGCACTACATCCTTCTCACCTGCAACAACTGTTGTGCTGAACCTTTTCCTTAAAGATTCGCATTCAAAGCAAGCTAGGACTCAACAACACCCTGGGCCAGTACTGGGATCTAACATGGGTCAGACTGCATGGCCACCAAGAGGTTCCTTAACTGGACGCAGCCCATCTCCCCATAGGTCTGACTCTTCAGGGTAATTTCAGAGGAGACAGCTTTGCCGCAAGGCTTGGAAGTGTTGTACCTGCCCTGCATTGAGAACCAGCCAAGCCCTGCTGTAACCTGACACAGAGAACCGTTGCCTTTTTCTTTTCCTTGGGGTGAACTACATTGTGGGGGCAGGGGGGAGGCTGAAGAGAGGGAGGATGACAGAAACCTACTAACAGGCAACTTGTGGGCTTTCCAAACCAAATCCAATCCCAAGGATGTTATATAACACTCAGAAACACTCAAGCTTTGGAAAAGGGTGTCACATTCAAGCATAGTTATTCACAGGTTATGTGAGCTGTGACAATGCTGTAAATTTCATGTGGTTCTGCATTCAACTATGAGTACCCCAAAAGTGCAGTCTCCATGTTCACATATTACTTTATCATACATCACTGTGTCTTAAGATATACCTCTTTCTCTCTGTATATCTGCTTAGGCTGATACTTGTTCCTGATAAGCAGTCGCTATGTTTTATATCCTCTTATAAAGAAAAAAAATTTTTTGTAAGTATGTTTAAAAACAAAAAAAAAGCAAAGTGGAAGTGTTTGCTGAATCGCATTCAGCTCCTTTTAAACTATGTAATAATGTACAGAGAAAGGTGTTGGTGTTCAAAGAAATGATGTGGCTGTGCAATTTATGTACATTTGCAATTAGAAATATTAAAGATTTATTTAGATATTTTATATAAGTGTTCCATACCTCTGCTCCGTCATTTCCAATTTCCAGAGCATTCTCGCACACTTAGGCCACGTGTGCACGCACAACCATTTGTCTGCTCTGT